GCGGACGGCTTCGGTGGGGAGCTCGATGACGCCGACGGCGGGAGCGGCGGGCCGCAGTACGACGGTCCCCAGGCCGCTGAGGCCGCTCGCGCCCGCGACTGCGCCCAGCTCTTCGCCTCCCTCGCGGCGGAGATCGACCCCGCCTTCGGCCTGGAGGCGAACGTCTGGGGCGCAGGTCGGCGTGGGCAGAACCTGGCACCTCCAGGTTCGGCCTACGCTAAGGAAGGATCCTGAGCGGGTCCCGAATTCAGTTGCACGACCTCTTCAGGTCTAGTCTAGCCTCCTCCCCCTCCTCCTCCTCCCCTTGTTCCACTCCCTCCTCCTCCTCCGCCTCCTCCTCCTCCTCCTCCTCCTCTTCCTCTTCCTCTTCCTCTCCCCCTCCTTCTCCCACTCACTCCTCCTCATCCTCCTCCACTTCCTCTTCTTCTTCCTCTTCCTCTTCCTCTCCTTCTCCCACTCACTGCTCTTGGCCTCCTCCTCCTCCTCCTCCTCCTCCTCCTCCTCTTTCCTCTCCTCTTCCTCTTCCTCTTCCTCTTCCTCTCCTTCTACCACTCACTCCTCCTCCTCCTCCCTCCTCCTCCTCCTGCTCCTCATCATCTCCTCCTCTCTTCCTTTCCTCTTCCTCTTCATCTCCTTCTCTCTCTCACTCCTTCTCCTCATCCTCTCATCCTCCTCTTCCTCCTCCTCTCCTTGTCCCACTCCCTCCCTCCTCCTCCTCCTCCTCCTCCTCCTCCTCCTCCTCCTTCTCATCCTCCTCCTCCTCCTCTTCAACCGCTTGGACTCAAAACGACGGGGGGATCATCTGTGGCCAGGGACGCCTCCGGCGGCCCCCGTGGCCAGGGACGCCTCCGGCGGCCCCCGACGAAGTACGAGTGGAAGCCCGCCAGCAGGCGGGCGGCCTCCCGCACGTCCCAGCCGTTCGCCAGTGCGGGCACGGCCTCCGCCAGGGATCAACCTAAACAGTGTTTAGCGTGTTCGCGCTGCTTCTAGTTGTCCCTCGTTTTGTCTTCGGACCGCCTTTGCTGCAAAACGAAGAATCGAAACGAAAACGGCCCACGGAATCGGCGAAACACCGTTCGGGTCGACCTCTGGCCTCCGCCAGCGCCCGCAGGTCCCCCGCGCGCGGCGCGGGCCTGGCGGCCGAGGCCAGGGCCCGCTGTCCGCTGCCCCGCACGCCCCCGATGCCGTGCAGCGACTTCTCCGAGAGGGACACCGCGACCACCTCGCCCTGGAGTGGGAGGCACAAGGGCATACTAGTACTATATGTTCTCCTTGGAGGCGCGCGTCCGACCCAAACATATAGTATACCTATCTTGTAGTATATCGTTTCCCGAGCGGTGTGGCCAGAAAGCGCCCGCCCCGAAGCATATACTATAAGATTTCTCAGTGCGCGCGTCGCCCCTGAGGGGGCGACGCACATATAGTATAAGTATGTTGGGGTGACGCCGATGGAGGGGCTGCAGGAGGGCGCACCCTCAGATCCGAGGCTCCAACAAAAACGGAGCGGCGGCATCTGGGCAGTGCTGGGCCTCCGAGGCCCCTCGCGGGGCCTCGGGAACGTCAAGAAACTGCACAGGACGAAAGACAGGGAAGTGGTCTGGAACTCCAGGGCCCACGCATCGAAAAAGCTGGAGCGGCCGGATGTCTGGGGACGAGGATAAGGTCGGGTGAGGATGGGTCGAAGATCTCTGAGATGCGGCGGCTCAGGGGGGTGTCCCAGGCGCCGCGGCCTTCTCAGAGCGTTCCGGAGCGCTCCGAGAGCGCTCTGGGACGCTCTGGAACGGAGTTGTCCTCGTCCCAGCCCCGCCCGGCGATCCGAGCGGCGGCCTTCGATCCCCAGAGCGCCACGGTCGGGAGGTCGGAGCCAGCTTCAGGGGATGCTGAACTCACTGGGATCGCCGAGGATTGCAGACATGAGGAGGAGATTCGCGAGGGCGCCTAGGTCGGCGCAAGCGGAACCGCGGCCGATCCGAAACTACCCCATCGCGGGAGGCAAGCGTGGCAGAACGAGCTCGGTCTAAATGTGCAGCTGGATCGCAACAGGTCCCCAAACCTCCTGCCTGTGACCGGTGCTTTGTGGCCGATTAGGGGCTTGTGTGGCCCTTCGGGATTGTGTTGCCTGGCGCGTGACTGGATTTGTGCTAGTGTGGCCCACCCTGGTCCGTCAATTCAAACTGGTGTGTAAAAACGTCCTTTATTAGCTCTAGAGTTCTTGGCGGCCCTTAAGGGATTGAATGTCGGCCCAAGAACGAGTGGGCACATACAGTAAGGTAGTCGTGAGAGAAACAGCAATAGCAGTAGTAGTAGTAGTAGTAGTAGTAGTAGTAGTAGTAATAGTAGTAGTCGTAGTAGTCGTAGTAGTCGTAGTAGTCGTAGTAGTCGTAGTAGTAGTAGTAGTAGTAGTAGTAGTAGTAGTAGTAGTAGTAGTAGTAGTAGTAGTAGTAGTAGTTACTAGTACTAGTACTAGTACTAGTACTAGTACTAGTACTAGTAGTAGTAGTAGTAGTAGTAGTAGTAGTAGTAGTAGTAATAGTAATATTAATACTGGTTCGTGTTGAAACTGTTGTAATAGTAGACGTAGTAGTAGCAGTAGTAGTAGTAGCAGTCGTAGTAGTAGGAGTTGGAGTAGGAGTATTACAAGCCGTGGTAATAGTAGTAGTAGTACTACTACTACTACTACTAGTAATAATGGTACAAATAACAATATGTGTCGTAGTCGCAGTCGTAGTCTTAGTCGTAGTAGTAGTAGTAGTCGTCATAGTAGTAGTAGTAGTAGTAGTAGTAGTAGTAGTAGTAGTGAAAGTAGTAGTTGTAGTAGTAGTAGTAGTAGTAGCAGTAGTAGTAGTAGTAATGGTGGTAGTAGTAGCAGCTGTAGTAGTAGTAGTAGTAGTAGTAGTAGTAGTAGTAGTAGTGGTAGTAGTACTAGTAGTAGTAATAGTAGTAGCCGCAGTAGCAGTAGTAGTGGTAGAGGTAGTAATAGTAGTCGTAGTAGCAGTAATCGTAGTAGTAGTCGTAGTCGTAGTAATAGTAGTAGTAATAGTAGTAGTAGTAGTAAAAATAGTCGTAGTCGTAGTAGTAGTAATGGTAGTAGTAGTAGTAGTAGTAATAGTAGCAGTAGTCGTAGTAGTCGTAGTAGTCGTGGTAGTAGTAGTAGCAGCAGCAGTACTAGTAGTAGTAGTAGTAGTAGTGGTAGTAGTAGTAGTGGTAGTAGTAGTAGTAGTAGTAGTAGTAGTGGTATACAACTAGTCGTATAGTAGTAGGAGTAATGTAAAAACACGTAATACAAGTAGCAACAGCAGCAGCAGTCGTAGTAGTAATAGTAGTAGTTCGTAGTAAAAAAAATAATGGCCGTATTAAGAACACTAGTAATAGCAGGGTGTTACTTGGTCCTCGTGCCTGGCCAAACACCCCCTCTCGTGTATTCTACACTGTAAAGCGACATTATTGAATCCATATAGGAGGATGAAGGAAGCCGTCAGTTCCACACCCCACCCTCGTGTCGGTTACACCCCACCCCGCCTTAGCGCACTACTCACGATTAGGCAACAGTATTAAGCCCTGTGTAATAAGAAATGCTGAAGAAGGACAGTGTCACACCTCCCCTTCGTGACGCAACATTTATGGCATGGTTCCAATAGAATTACAAGGGGTTCGTTGGGTAACCTCTCCCATTGGCCACCAATACGGCCAAAACTCAGGCCGACGCCCGTACGGCATCCCCGGGGTTCTTTAGGATCCTCAAGAATCTTGAGGCACTCCGATGGGCCATGGCGGGTTTCGACGGATGATGAAAGATCCTCAGGGGCGCTGCAAGTCTTGAGGGACTCCGAAGGATTCTTGAGATGCCATTTCAGGTCCACTGGAATTCCTGGGGTTCCCTAACAGGCCCTCTTTGGTGCTCACAGGTTTTGTTGTGCACGCTGGCGTCGTGGTGCACGCTAAGCATTGTGGTGCGCACAGGCTTTGTGGTGCACACTGGCGTTGTGATTTCCATTCGTTCTGATGTACGACATCGTTTTGGCGAACACAAGCATTGTGGGCCCAAAATGTCCAAGCGTTCCTTGGGCCACAAAAAACATACATACATTACAATCAGTTCGCACGTTGAATTTGATGCGTGCGGATCCCCACCGATTTTCTGGAGTTGGGCTCCGTCGGGACCTTGGCGCTGTACGCAAGCTTTGTGGTAAACGCACGCACTGTGGTGCATGCGGGAGGTGCTCACAAATGCACGGTGGATTTCGCAGGATCCCTACGTGTTGCGGCCACCAGGTTCCCGAAAAACCCCTCCCTTGAATTTGGAAATCGGTGGGATATTTCTGGATTCCCCGGGTTCCCCAAGAGGCCCTCTCAGAAACCTGGCACTTTGTAGGATCGCGAAGAACTCCGAAGATTCCTTAGGAGGCCCTCCCAGGAATCCGGGACTTGGTAAGATCCGTCGCAGGTCCAAAGGATATCCCGGAGGCACTCTCATGACCCTGGCAATTTGTACAATCCTGAGGAATCCGTAGGATTCCCTAGGAGGCCATCCTGTATCACGCCCCACCTTCGTGTACTATTAGTTCGAATTGACAGAGTTTGCAGTTTCACATCTCACTTTCGCGTCGCCTAGGACTTAGATTATATTCGTAGGGTGATCGCATTCTAGTCACGTTGCATTCGTATGATATTCGTATTGTAGTCGTATTGAATTCGTAGTGCGTTCGTATTGTATTCGTATTGCGCTCGTACTGGGTTCGTATCGTATTCGTAGTGTACTCGTGTTGCATTGCATGCGTGTTGTATTCGCATCGGATTCGAATTCTACTGTATGCACGAGCCCGGACCCGAACCGGAGCACTTCTCTTACCCTGACCCATTCATTCTGAAAAGGCACGAAGATGAGGTGTGACCCTACTAGTAGCAGCAGTGCTAGCAGCAGTATTAGAAGTAGTAGTAGTAGTTGTTGTTGTAGTAGTAGTAGCAATCATCGTAGTCGTAGTACTAGCAGCAGCAGCAGCAGCAGCAGCAGCAGCAGCAGTAGTAGTAGCAGTAGTAGTAGTAGTAGTAGTGGTGGTAGTAGTAGTAGTAGTAGTAGTAGTAGTAGTAGTAGTAGTAGTAGTAAGAGTAGTAGTAGTAGTAGTAGTAGCAGCAGCAGGAGTAGTAGTAGTGGTAGTAGTAATAGTGGTAGTAGTAGTACTAGTAGTAGTAGTAGTGGTAGTAGTAGTCGTAGTCGTAGTCGTAGTCGTAGTCGTAGTAGTAGTAGTAGTAGTAGTAGCAGTAGTAGCAGTAGGTGTAGTGGTGGCAATAGTTGTAGTCGGTTGTGGTAGTGGAGGTGGTAGCGACAGTGGTAGTGAAAGTGGTAATGGTATTTGTAGTGGTAGTGGTAGTGGTAGCGGTAATGGAAATAGTGATGGTAACACTGGTAGTCGTAGTAGCAGTAGTAGCAGTAGTAGCAGTAGTAGTAGTAAAAGCAGTAGTAGTGGTGGTAGTAGTAGTAGCACTGGTAGTGGTGGTGGTGGTGGTGGTAGTAGTAGTAGCAGTAGTAGTAGTAGTAGTGCTGGTAAAGGCAATAGTGGTCGTAGTAGGAGTCGTAGTAGCAGCAGCTGTAGTAGTAGGAAAAGTAGTAGCAGTAGTAGGAGTAGCAATAGTAAGGGTCAGGGTAAGAGTAGCAGTAGTAGTGGTGGTAGTAGAAGTAGTAGTAGTAATAGGTTGGGAGAAAGTAGTTGTAGCAGCAGTCGTAGCAGTAGTCGTAGTAGTAGTAGTAGTAGTAGTAGCAAAAACAAGATCACTAGTAATAGTATTAGTAGTCGTAGTCGTAGTCGTAGTCGTAGTAGTAGTACTACTACTACTACTACTACTACTACTACTACTAGTACTAGTACTAGTACTAGCACTAGTACTACTAGTAGTAGGGCTTGCAGAAGTAGTAGTAGTAGTAGTAGTAGTACTCGTAGAAATAGAGTTAGTAGTAGTAGTAGTAGTAGTAGTAGTAGTAGTAATAGGACTAGTCAAGCACGGTGGCGGGATGAGTCGAAGGCCAATGGACGTTCAACAGAAGCTTCCGTCAGGCTCATGGACATGTGGAAGCGTTGACTCCTTACCTCTTCTGGGGGACGGCGGAATAGCGAAAGCCTATGGATTGATGATAGCGGCGGTAGTAGTAGGAGTTGTAGTAGTAGTAGGAGGAGGAGGAGGAAGAGTAGGAGTAGGAGTAGGAGTAGGAGTAGTAGTAGTAGTCGTCGTCGTCGCCGTAGTAGTAGTAGTAGTAGTAGTAGTAGTAGTAGTAGTAGCAGTAGTAGTAGTAGTAGTAGTCGTAGTCGTAGTCGCAGTCGTCGTCGTCGTCGAAATAACAATAGTATGATGATGATAATGATGATGATGATGATGATGCTGATGATGCTGATGTTGATGAGGTTGATCATGATGATGATGATGATGATGATGATGATGATGATGATGATGATGATGATGATCATGATAATTGTCGTCGACGTCGCAGGAATCGGAGCAGTCGGAGTACGTAGTTTAGGAGTACGTAGTACAACTAAAGGTGGTGACGCCCTTCGTGTTGGTAGTATTCTGAGCGGTAGTGGTAGTAGCAGTTACGTAGGTAAGAGGCCCGAGAAGCCCTTGATAGGCTCCCAAAAAAACCCTTCCGGGGCCCCGGGAGGCTCTACAGAGGCCCCTCAAGAGGCCCTACGAGGCCCTCACGAGGCCCTGGAAGGCCGTGCAAAGCTGGTAGAGGGGTGAGAGGGGGTGGGCGGGCGGGCCGCTCTCTGTAGCCAGACACCCACACCCACCGCATTCGACGACGCGTACACTCCGAAGCGCCCGTGGCCATACAAACAGCCACAGGGCCATGCAAAAACCTTTCCCCCTCCTGATCCCCTTTCTCGGATGCCCTGCCTCGGCTGTGCCCTGCAGCAGGGACATGGCGGCGTGAATTCGCTCGGCGACCAGCTCCGGGCCGAACGGAAGCAGGTACCATGCACTCGTCACATGCAGAATGAATTCGCCCCCCCCGCAGGTCTCGGATGCAGCGGCACCACACACCACCACCGCGCCGAAGCGCACCCGGAGCCACCTGAGCGGAGGGGGGGCGAAAGGGGGCTGGCTTTAGGTCGGGAGTGTCCCCTACAGGCGGGCTTTGGGCGAAAAATGCAAAATTAAAAACACTCAAAGATAACCAGAAATGGCAGAAAAATCGTCCCCATATTATTTTGTTGACTATTCTTGAACTTCCCTCCTGTAGAGGGATGTGCCCGACTTAAGGCTGGCTCAGGGAGGGAGACAACGAGCTGGAAGCAGCGAGGCATCGCTTGTGGATCCGCGGAAGGGCCCCTGGACACGAAGACCGCGCAACTTCCTCGGCAGAGCGGGGGGGGCACCGGGGCACCCATATTGCGAGGCATGGGCGGCTGGGGGTCGATTTCCCCCCCTGGTCGAGTGAACGTTTTCTTCTTCGGCGTTGCGACACTGGGCGGAGGGGTCAAGTCGGGCAGGTCACTCCACAGGAGAAATATCCAAAAATGGTCCAAAGATAGTCTGGGGACGATTGTTCGATTATTTCTGTTTTTCTTGAATATCATTCGCCTATTTTCAATGTTCCTCTTTTGACTATTTTCAATTCCCTCTTTTGACCATCTCCGATTTTCCCTCCAAAGTCCGCCTGTAGGAGCACATGCCCGACCTCACGGAAGGGGGAGCCTGGCTCCAAGCCTCTGCTTGACGCGACTGCTGGCAACCGTGCGTCCTGTGGGGGAGACTCTTGAAGTAGTCGGGCGTTGGCAGAACTGGGTTTAGTGGAACCTGGTTTAGTGATCTGTACCGGGGGCGCCCCCCCGTCCCATTTCCACTGACCGGAACTGCCGTCACCCGGAAAAACACCAGCTATGGCAAACCTGGTTTAGTGATTCTGGCAAATTCAAAAGCTCCGAGGCCCTACCACTAACCGGGTCCCCTTACCCGGGGTCCTGGCCAGACCAAAATAGGCGCCAAAGACAGCCAAGATCTACTCCATGGGGGGGGGGAAAGGTGGGTGCGAGGGCCCGCGCCGATCACCAAAACACTGAACAACAAAACGATCACTCAACTCCCCTTCTCCTCCGGGGAAATCCGCGCGGACCTCCGAGTTCGTATGTTCATGCCATTGTTCGTTCCCCTACGACTGCCGGCGCCGCGGTCGCGACCCCATACCACCCCAGGTACCAGCCCTCCGGCGCAGCCGGGTCGTCCCAGGGTGCCCCGCAGTCAGTGATGCGCACCGCCAGCCCGAGGCGACGAGGGCCGCCCTGGAGACCCAGAAAGGGGGAATCGGCCGCATGGGGGATGGTCTGGGCGCCCTTTCCCCCTCTGCACCCCAGACCACCCCAGGTACCAGCCCTCTGGCGCAGACCCGAGGCGACGAGGGCCGCCCTGGAGGCCCAGAAAGCGGACCTCGGCCGAAGGGGTAGTGGTGTGGGCACCGCTTCCTCCTCTGCGCCCCAGACCACCCCAACCCAACCCGAAGACCCGAATTTCGGGTTGGGGGGGGTATGGGCTCCATATGTGTTTTTTCGATGTTCCCGGACCCCCCCCCACTAGAAATCGAGGGCAAATCTGAGCCTTCGGGTTGGGTTGGGGTGGTTTGGTGGGTGGTGATCCTCTGCGCCCCAGACCACCCCTGGGCCCAGGAACTGTGTATATGCCTCCCTGGCCAGGCCAGGAGGGCGTATACACCGCTCCTGGGCCCAGGATTGGCCTGGCCAGGAGCAGTGGATATGTATAGATCTCGTCGCCCTAAGTGGTGTGGGCACCGCTTCCTCCCCTGCGCCCCAGACCACCCCAGGTACCAGCCCTCCGGCGCAGCCGGGTCGTCCCAGGGCGCCCCGCAGTCGGTGATGCGCACCGCCAGCCCGACGCCGGCCCGCAGCACGCCGCCGCCGGCGAGCGTCTCGACGAGGCCCCGCAGCACCGCCAGGGGCGCAGCGGCCGAGTGCAGGGCCCGCACGCAGAGCCCAGGGGGCAGCGGTGCGGGGCCCAGGGCTGGACCTGAGCGCTGTGTTGCTTGCCTTCGGCTGTGTTTTTTTTTTCCGTTTTGGCAAAGGGACGCATGCAGGAAAACAGGTGGACAAAAAACGAACACCAAAACGAATACAGAGCGGAGAAACACGCACGCAGAGCCCAGGGGGCAGCGGTGCGGAGCCCAGGGCTGGACCTGAACGTTGCTTTTCGTGTGTTCGTGTCGTTTTTCGTGTTGCTTCTCCGCTCCGTCTTCGTTTTTTGGTGTTCGCTTGTTGTCCACCCGCTTTCCTGCATGCGCCCCTTTGCCAAAACGGGAAAGAAAAATTATCCTGGCGAAGGAGCCAACCATATGCAGTTGTGAGTATCGCAATTGGGAGTATATTCTTCGGTGGCGCTCCCTATGGGGCCACGAACCGCATGAGGGGTGTGCCGAAATGTGGCGGGGTACACAACGCAAAGGATTACGATTGATCTGATTACGAGAGAAAGAACGCGGGTGAGTCAGAGCGCGAGGGAATCTGAGTATGAATGGGTCTGCGCGCGAGTGAATATATTTGCATGAATGCGATCATGGAACCGCCTAGTGTAAGTGTCGAGCATGCCTGTCCGAACACACGTGACACTGGGCGTGGCCGCCGCAGGCAGCTTCCGCGGGAACCCCGACGGCAGCGTCCGCACGTCGCGACGCCCATGTCGGCACGCCTCTTGCGAGGATCGCGCCCGCTTTCGGCTCTTCTTTTCCTTCCTCTTTGCCCGCGCACTCCAAAATCCAAGGCTGCGGGCGCAGCGCAGCGCGGAGTCCCCGCGACGCGCGCTGGTCGCCCCGGGCGGGGTCCCAGCGACGCGCGCGGGTCGTCCGCTGCGCGAAGCAGAGAGAGCTGACTAGCTAACTGGCTGGCTGATAGCGGGCAAGTCTCTGACCGCTGGGCAGAGCGACGACGGGCGAACGAGGCGCCGGGCCCCCCGCAGCACGGAGTTCCCGCGACGCGCGCTGGTCGCCCCGAGAGGGTCCCAGCGACGCGCGCGGGTCGTCCGCGGCGCGAGGCCAAACAATTAGTCGGGCAGTCGAGAGAAGGCGCGGCTCGGGGGAGACGCTCCTCAGGTCAGGCCTCGCGGATGAACTCGGTGAAGCCGAGCTCCCTGGCGAGGGCCGTCGCTTCCCTCCTGCACCGCTTCGTGCGCGCCGCAAACTGCTCCAGCTGCTTCCGCAAGCCCTGCGGCGGCCCTGCCAGGAAGAACTCGATGCGCGGCGCCCGCATGAGCAGGAGGTCCTCGTGGCGCGTGGCGCGCGAGAGCAGCACGTAGAGCTCCAGCCACCAGTCGTCGTCCTCCTTCTTGCCGTTCCCTACCTCGTGGCGGCCGCAATCCAGGATCACGCCTGGGCGACGTCGACCGAGGGAGCAGCGCGCCGGGCAGCCGACGGCCCAGGGCGAGAGTCCACAGGACCGAGAGATGGTCTGGCCGCGGACTGCTCGCGCCCCGGAGGTCTGGCCGCCCCCGGAGCGCCGTTCCCCCGCCCCGTCGCCTTCGCGCATGGTGCGCCCCTGGCACGCCACCGTGGTGATGACCCTGCCGTGCGAGAAATGCGGGGGGTGTGCCGAAATGGGTGGGGGTGACGCATGCGGGCGGCGGCACTGAGGCCTTCGGTGGAGCTCCCTATGGAGCCACGAAACGTGTGAGGGGTGTGCCGAAATGGGTGTGGGGGACGCATGCGGCCGCGGGCACTGGGGCCTTCGGTGGAGCTCCCTATGGAGCCACGAAACGTGTGAGGGGTGTGCCGAAATGGGTGTGGGGGACGCATGCGGCCGCGGGCACTGGGGCCTTCGGTGGAGCTCCCTATGGAGCCACGAAACGTGTGAGGGGTGTGCCGAAATGGGTGTGGGGGACGCATGCGGCCGCGGGCACTGGGGCCTTCGGTGGAGCTCCCTATGGAGCCACGAAGCGTGTGAGGGGTGTGCCGAAATGACACCCCCAGTGGGACCTTCGGTGGAGCTCCCCATGGGGCCACGAAACGTTGTCCTGGGTGGGGGAGACGCATGCGAACACCCCTACTGGGACCTTAGGTGGAGCTCCCTATGGGGCCACGAAACGCTGTCCTGGGTGGGGGAGACGCATGCGAACACCCCCACTTGGGCCTTCGGTGGAGCTCCCTATGGGGCCACGAAACGCTGTCCTGGGTGGGGGAGACGCATGCGAACACCCTTATTGGGACCTTCGGTGGAGCTCCCGATGGGGCCACGAAACGCTGTCCTGGGTGGGGGAGACGCATGCGAACACCCCTACTGGGACCTTCGGTGGAGCTCCCTATGGGGCCACGAAACGCTGTCCTGCGTGGGGGAGACGCATGCGAACACCCCTATTGGGACCTTCGGTGGAGCTCCCTACGGGGCCACGAAACAGTGTCCTGGGTGGGGGAGACGCATGCGAACACCCCCACTTGGGCCTTCGGTGGAGCTCCCTATGGGGCCACGAAACGCTGTCCTGGGTGGGGGAGACGCATGCGAACACCCCCAGTGGGACCTTCGGTGGAGCTCCCTATGGGGCCACGAAACGCTGTCCTGGGTGGGGGAGACGCATGCGAACACCCCTACTGGGACCTTCGGTGGAGCTCCCTATGTATGGGGCCACGAAACGCTGTCCTGCGTGGGGGAGACGCATGCGAACACCCCTGTTGGGACCTTCAGTGGAGCTCCCTATGGGGCCACGAAACGCTGTCCTGGGTGGGGGAGACGCATGCGAACGCCCCCAGTGGGACCTTCGGTGGAGCTCCCTATGGGGCCACGAAACGTGTGAGGGGTGTGACGACATGGGCGGTGGGGACGATGATGAAGACGATGATGAGGATGAGGATGTGGATGAGGATGATGCTGCAGATGATCATTCTGACGGAAGAGAGAAGGAGGGGGAGGAGGGAGGAGGGGGAGGAGGAAGGAGGAGAGGAACGCGGGGCACCGTCTCTTCAAAACGAGGACCCAACACCACAGGATGGTTGGGAACGAGGACCCAACACCACAGGATGGTTGGGGAAAAAATATCCTGGCGAAGGACCCAACCATATGCAGTTGTGAGCATCGCAATTGGGAGTATCTTCTTCGGTGGCGCTCCCTATGGGGCCACGAACCGCATGGGGGGCGTGCCGAAATGTGGCGGGGTACACAACGCAAAGGATTACGATTGATCTGATTACGAGAGAAAGAACGCGGGTGAGTCAGAGCGCGAGGGAATCGAGTGAGTATGAATGGGTCTGCGCGCGAGTGAATATATTTGCATGAATGCGATCATGGAACCGCCTAGTGTAAGTGTCGAGCATGCCTGTCCGAACACACGTGACACTGGGCGTGGCCGCCGCAGGCAGCTTCCGCGGGAACCCCGACGGCAGCGTCCGCACGTCGCGACGCCCATGTCGGCACGCCTCTTGCGAGGATCGCGCCCGCTTTCGGCTCTTCTTTTCCTTCCTCTTTGCCCGCGCACTCCAAAATCCAAGGCTGCGGGCGCAGCGCAGCGCGGAGTCCCCGCGACGCGCGCTGGTCGCCCCGGGCGGGGTCCCAGCGACGCGCGCGGGTCGTCCGCTGCGCGAAGCAGAGAGAGCTGACTAGCTAACTGGCTGGCTGATAGCGGGCCAGTCTCTGACCGCTGGGCAGAGCGACGACGGGCGAACGAGGCGCCGGGCCCCCCGCAGCACGGAGTTCCCGCGACGCGCGCTGGTCGCCCCGAGAGGGTCCCAGCGACGCGCGCGGGTTGTCCGCGGCGCGAGGCCAAACAATTAGTCGGGCAGTCGAGAGAAGGCGCGGCTCGGGGGAGACGCTCCTCAGGTCAGGCCTCGCGGATGAACTCGGTGAAGCCGAGCTCCCTGGCGAGGGCCGTCGCTTCCCTCCTGCACCGCTTCGTGCGCGCCGCAAACTGCTCCAGCTGCTTCCGCAAGCCCTGCGGCGGCCCTGCCAGGAAGAACTCGATGCGCGGCGCCCGCATGAGCAGGAGGTCCTCGTGGCGCGTGGCGCGCGAGAGCAGCACGTAGAGCTCCAGCCACCAGTCGTCGTCCTCCTTCTTGCCGTTCCCTACCTCGTGGCGGCCGCAATCCAGGATCACGCCTGGGCGACGTCGACCGAGGGAGCAGCGCGCCGGGCAGCCGACGGCCCAGGGCGAGAGTCCACAGGACCGAGAGATGGTCTGGCCGCGGACTGCTCGCGCCCCGGAGGTCTGGCCGCCCCCGGAGCGCCGTTCCCCCGCCCCGTCGCCTTCGCGCATGGTGCGCCCCTGGCACGCCACCGTGGTGATGACCCTGCCGTGCGAGAAATGCGGGGGGTGTGCCGAAATGGGTGGGGGTGACGCATGCGGGCGGCGGCACTGAGGCCTTCGGTGGAGCTCCCTATGGAGCCACGAAACGTGTGAGGGGTGTGCCGAAATGGGTGTGGGGGACGCATGCGGCCGCGGGCACTGGGGCCTTCGGTGGAGCTCCCTATGGAGCCACGAAACGTGTGAGGGGTGTGCCGAAATGGGTGTGGGGGACGCATGCGGCCGCGGGCACTGGGGCCTTCGGTGGAGCTCCCTATGGAGCCACGAAACGTGTGAGGGGTGTGCCGAAATGGGTGTGGGGGACGCATGCGGCCGCGGGCACTGGGGCCTTCGGTGGAGCTCCCTATGGAGCCACGAAACGTGTGAGGGGTGTGCCGAAATGGGTGTGGGGGACGCATGCGGCCGCGGGCACTGGGGCCTTCGGTGGAGCTCCCTATGGAGCCACGAAGCGTGTGAGGGGTGTGCCGAAATGACACCCCCAGTGGGACCTTCGGTGGAGCTCCCCATGGGGCCACGAAACGTTGTCCTGGGTGGGGGAGACGCATGCGAACACCCCTACTGGGACCTTAGGTGGAGCTCCCTATGGGGCCACGAAACGCTGTCCTGGGTGGGGGAGACGCATGCGAACACCCCCACTTGGGCCTTCGGTGGAGCTCCCTATGGGGCCACGAAACGCTGTCCTGGGTGGGGGAGACGCATGCGAACACCCTTATTGGGACCTTCGGTGGAGCTCCCGATGGGGCCACGAAACGCTGTCCTGGGTGGGGGAGACGCATGCGAACACCCCTACTGGGACCTTCGGTGGAGCTCCCTATGGGGCCACGAAACGCTGTCCTGCGTGGGGGAGACGCATGCGAACACCCCTATTGGGACCTTCGGTGGAGCTCCCTACGGGGCCACGAAACAGTGTCCTGGGTGGGGGAGACGCATGCGAACACCCCCACTTGGGCCTTCGGTGGAGCTCCCTATGGGGCCACGAAACGCTGTCCTGGGTGGGGGAGACGCATGCGAACACCCCCAGTGGGACCTTCGGTGGAGCTCCCTATGGGGCCACGAAACGCTGTCCTGGGTGGGGGAGACGCATGCGAACACCCCTACTGGGACCTTCGGTGGAGCTCCCTATGTATGGGGCCACGAAACGCTGTCCTGCGTGGGGGAGACGCATGCGAACACCCCTGTTGGGACCTTCAGTGGAGCTCCCTATGGGGCCACGAAACGCTGTCCTGGGTGGGGGAGACGCATGCGAACGCCCCCAGTGGGACCTTCGGTGGAGCTCCCTATGGGGCCACGAAACGTGTGAGGGGTGTGACGACATGGGCGGTGGGGACGATGATGAAGACGATGATGAGGATGAGGATGTGGATGAGGATGATGCTGCAGATGATCATTCTGACGGAAGAGAGAAGAGGAGGGGGAGGAGGGAGGAGGGGGAGGAGGAAGGAGGAGAGGAACGCGGGGCACCGTCTCTTCAAAACGAGGACCCAACACCACAGGATGGTTGGGAAAAAAAGCACAGCCGAAGGCAAGCAACACCGCGCTCAGGTCCAGCCCTGGTGCGGAGCCCGCAGAGGAGCCGTTCGCGCGCGCGCGCGGCGTGCGCCCCGGGCTCGACGCCCGCGCCGCCCCCGCGCCCGGGGTGGGCAGGCCCAGCGTCGCCGCCAGGCGCCGCCGCCCGATCCTGTAGCGAGGGGAGGGCCGTGCGCCAGCGCTTGCTGCGGCCCCTGCGATGCTCCGAGGGCGGAGACCTCCCAGATGATGACTACCTACCAGACCACCCCAGCCCAACCCGAAGACCCGAATTCGACCCGAATTCTGGGTTGGAGGGGTACGGGTTCCATGTGTCCTTCCAATGTTCCCCGACCCTCCCCCCCCACTGGAAATGGAGGGCTAATTAGAGCCTTCGGGTCGGATTGGGGTGGTTCGGTGGGTGGTGAGATGAGGTCCTAGCAGATGGGGTCGGAGGACCGCGCCGCGCCGCCGATGCATCGGCGATGCATTGGCGACGTCGGCGATGTATCGGCGCCATCGGCGTGGAGAAAAACGTGCTCCACATCGAGCTGCATCGCCGACGCATCGGAGGTGCGCCGCGATCCTCCGACCCCATCTGCTCGGACCCTGCCTGGGAGGCCCAGGAGCCACCCGAGCCGGGAGCGCGGGGCCCGGGGGGCGCCCTGAGAACGACGGATGGGCACCGCAGGGGCGGCAAACGCTGGGAACCCCTCCGATCCTCTGCAGAACGTTCAGCGTGGTCAGCGGCCGAGCGTGGCCGAAGGTGGGCTCCGGCCCCTTGCCGCCAGGCGGCACGCTGGAGGCGATGAGTTTTAACATGCCGCTGACCGCCACTGCGTCGGCATCGCTCTCCAACTGTGAGAAAATGATGATGGTGGCCAAGGAGACCGCGAAGCCCAACGGGCACTCCCTGCTCACGGACCGGAACTCCTGGGGGTCGCGGTACGCGACCACGTCGGCATCCAGGGCGATGATCCTGTACCTGGCGAGCCAAGCGTTGTATCAGCACCGCGCAGAGAGACGCTACACCACGGAGTCCGAACTGACCACTACATGAGAAATACACAGAGAAGGAAGGAAACACAAAACGAAGAGCGAGAGGGTGAGGATGAGGGCGAGATGGCCATGCGGATCAAGGTGAGGGCTGGGGGACAAGGTTGAAAGGTGAGATGGGTGGCGTGTTATATGCGGAGAGTGAAGGCCATAGAGCAGCACTCGAACGGTACGACTCTGCACGAAATCCTACCAGGAAGCCCGTGCAACTCTGAAACGCAAATGGGACGACACACGTTCAAGCAGACAAGGCGTCGCAGACAAACCCCGACCATGCTTGAACACGTCGACAAACTCCTCACTTCTTTCGAAAAGTACGAAGAGATCTTGACAAGCTACGAGGGCTCTAAATGGAAACTCACCAAATTACGGCAGGTCTACATCTCCAAGCACTGCGAGCAGGACTGAGCCTGGCTGAGATGGGCTAAGCTGGACGGAGCTGGACTGAGCTGGTCGGAGCTAAGCAGAGCTGCGTCGGAGCTGGAAGTTACTGAAATAGAGCAAGGTTGGTTGAAATGGACTAAAAGTAGCTGGACGGACCTGGGCAGACCTGACATGAGCTGTGTTTACCTGAGCTGGGCTGGAATTTGCTGGGCTGAGTTGTACTGAACCGGACTTGAGCTGGACTGAGCCGCGATAACCTGGACTGGGCGGGGCTGACCTGGACTGAGGTGGACTGGGCTGAGCTGGATTCAGCTGAACTCGACAGGGTTGCGACAGTAAAGCACAAGTGAAAAGACCAACATTGGATTTAGCTGGGCTCGAAATTTGCCAGCGTAGGTGAGACAGATCAACATGTCAGATTCCCGCTGATAGATCCACGTCTTTGTATTGTTGTTCGCCGCGGAGAAACGTTGATCGTTGGGATTGTCTCTTCCTCCCTTCTTCGTACGAGCCTGTCGTACATGCCCTGTGGTCGCACCATCTTATGCTCTTACAGACTTAGGGTATGCATAATGTAATGTGTACCAGCTTTGAACTTGCTATCAAGTCTGGCGCTCGTGCAGAACCTTCTGGCCGTTTATTGCAGTAGAGGCTGACAGTAGTCACTTTGAGCATCCTTGTGCCTCGTGGGGACCCCTTTCACGGGACATCCTACAGTAGGAGCTCGACCACAAGAATCTTCTACAAGAAACCCAACCCTGAGACCCCAGGACGTCCACTGCTTTTTCCCCACATCCAAAGTGGAGTTCTTGTTTTCTCTGGACACCCCGCGCAAGAACAGGAACCCACCATCATCATCACTCATTCCTCACTCACTCACTCACTCATCATCCCTCACACACTCACTCACTCACTCACTCACTCACTCACTGACCCATCAGCACTCACATATGATCATGATGAGCGTGCGCGTGAGAGAGTGTGATGATCATCATCATCACCAGTCAGTCAGTCACTCACTCACTCACTCACTCACTCACTCACTCACTCGCCTTGGGCCTCGTCTGTGAGTGAATTGCGAGGAAGTCTCAAGCGGGAGCCCCCTCCCTATGGGGCCCGCGGATCATGTTACTAATCCGAGCGGGTCATCCAATTCCTGTAACTGTCGCCACTTTTGGGCTCTCGCGCTGCCAGAACGCCAGTCCCAGGCCACATTTGTGAGTGAATTGTGAGGAAATCTCAAGCGGGAGCCCCCTCCCTATGGGGCCCGCGGATC